GCCAACGCTGTTCACCCCAGCTAGTCGTCATGGGTCACCAGAATCCGAAAGGCACTCCAAATCGAGATCTTCAACACCCATGAGATCTTCTGTATCGCAGCACTTTTCGAAAGCCCATGCATTTGAACTTAATGTTCCTGACCATTTACCTAACAGTCCACTATGCCCCGCAAATCCTATGCACCCGAGCAACGGCCAGGCAGTATGTCCAATGCATGGTCGCAATAGAACCCAGAGTCACTCGCCTAGTTTTAGTCAAAGTAGAACTCCTGATATTGAGATAAGAGTGATATCAGATCAAGAGTGAGAAGGGACGATTCTGAGATGGGTTGCTGGATCGAGTTGGAGAGGAGCTTGTAGACCAATAACAGATATCGATTAGCCACTGCAGTCACTAAATTGATCTAAATTCTACTGTATACTTTTTCACTTCCTTCTTGTTGATACTGGTTTTGGAATAAAGAGTTATAAATATTTTATGAATAACTATTGATCAATCCCCATCAACATATGCCTTCTGTGTTTGTAAATTTCGTGATATCATTGATGAAGAACGAAAAGGGTGAACTTCAAGCAACCGAGAAATTTCAGTTCGTCTGTGGCCAAGCTCGGCAACCGTATTTTCTTTTGGCTCACTCGCGACAAGCTGCAATAGCTCACTTTCCAGCAATCTTGCTTCTTCTTTAATCCCGAAAACAAAAACTCAAGGCAATACCATCTTTTGACATCGATCGAATCGATCATCATGTCAGCTTCCGATCAAGATCCTTTACTTCTCCTGCGACAATCGATAGCCTCAGAAAGTCCTTGCATACCCACTACCACAGAAGATGCAGCATCCTCAGTAGACCTGAGTCTGGCAACAGCAACCTACCTCCACTTTACTTCACCCCTCCAAGTATCAATTCCATTCACGACTGCCACACGTTTCATTTCCTCGGACAAGCCTGTAAATCTTCGCAGCATCTATTTCGCATGGCAGCAACGCGAACTAGCAATCCCAGAATACAATGCATCATCAACGACATTGAGCGCGCAATTGGCAGCAGAGGGCGGCGCTGGTGGTGAAATCCAAAATTTGTCATTCGTAGAACGTTTGGATCTTATTACGTGGTTGGAGGGCGCGTCGGACGAATCGCAATATATTAAGCCTTTAGCTTCAGATACGTCAAATGCGACAGCCTCGGCGCAGGTTGCTTCTGGGGCGGCTGGGGGAATAGCACCAGTCACGAGTGGTATGGGAGGTAGGCAGGGAAAGAATGTTGATCCTAGGCTAGCAGAGATCTACAATGGGGAAAGGCGGATGGGAGATAGGAATAGTGTATTGAGGGGGATTAAACCTACGGTATGTGCTTGTTATTATATGTTAATCTTCACAAAAACTAGGATTTGTGAGATTGAGAACTGACTTATTGAATTTAGGATTTCTCTCATGTCCGCAAACTCGCAGCTCCATTCCTCTCACGTAAAGCTGCACACGCTGCCGCACAAAATCTAGCAAACAACCCAGCACTCGCTCATAACCTCAAACCCGTCCGGCGCCCAGATCCTATCATACTTTTGTCTCCATCAGCGTCTTCTATTCTTCGCATGTCTAATATCAAATCGTTCCTCGAAGGTGGTGCATTCATCCCTCCAGATTCAGCAAGCTCTACTTCCAGTTCCTCGGCTTCAATTCTACATATTTCGCGTTTCATACCTTCCATAGATCCTGCACGACCAATTCGTTTCATTATTGTTGATACACCAGAGCAATTTAAGCCGGAGTATTGGTCAAGAGTCGTGGCGGTCTTTACTACTGGTCAAGTTTGGCAATTCAAGAACTATAAATGGCCACTACCTACAGATTTGTTCAGGAACACTCTAGGCTTGTTCGTAGGATTCAGAGGAGAGAGTCTACCGGATACAGTTAAGGGATGGGGAAGTGGAGTTCTGGCTTCGCAAGTCGAAAGGTGGGCTCCACAAGCAGGTCCAGCTAGTAGATGGAGGGATAAGGAAGTGGTGGAGAATATTTGGAAAGCAATTGAGGGAAATATGAAGGCCAAAGGATGGAGACGGGATTCTGGTCCAGTCATTTGAGTTGGACTGACTAAAGCCATGGGACAGAAAATTGTACTAACGAGCGGTTTAATGCGAATAAATAAAATCGGCGCTCAGGAGTTATTACTAGTTGATTTGGGAAGAAGAGTATCATGAGAATCACTGAACCGGTAATGGTGGAGAATCTGTGCTACATTACACATACCTAGGTAGTCTATAGGAGGCGTAGAGGTTCTGAAATTTGATCAATCGAAGGACTACCAAATGAACTTGAATCAGTAAGGAGCTGAATTCGACTTTGTACTATACAGAAATACAGAAATACAGAAATATTAGAGGTGAATATAAAGAAACTCTTGAATCTAGAACTTGTATAAAGAAATTCTACTAGTATCTATGCAATTTAAATGTCTCGCTTCACTTCATACGTTTCATACATTTTTGGAAAAATTTCGATTGAGGGATCAGCTTTCTCGAATTTTAAAGTTCTCGGACAGAATGGTCCTTCCCTTCCCTTCCCTTACCTAGATTCCCTAACTCCGCGTCATAAGTTTTATACGAAAACAACTCAACATTCGACATATCTTTTATTCTCAGATACAAGTAACTGTTCGGGAACATCGAATTATCTTTCATAATACTCCCGGGATACAATGTAATACTCCTTACCAAAGGAACACTCCACGATGATGGTGTTCTCGGGAATTCTCAAATCAACCAACCAAAACACTTCTCATCCCTCAGCCACAGCCACCCTGGATTCAACATCACAACAACCTGCAACTAGGGCTACTTCTAATGAAAGAAGCAAGAGTACCTCACCTACGGTGTCAGCGACAGCGGCATCTTTGATTACGGATCCAGTGGGAAGCCCGTATATCCGAACGAAAGAAAACCTTCTACCCCTAGATGCCGAAATACCCGATCTCCGCGAGTTAAACCATAGCCTTGAAGCGCTTGCGGCTATCTTCCCCGATGTTCAAGTCGAGGTGTTCCGCGAGATGCTTTCGAGCTTCGAAGAAGAATCTAGATTGGCTGTCGTGACGGAAGCTTTGCTTAAACATAAGATGAAATATGTGCGGGGACGATATAGAGTCGCGTCGAAGGAGAAGGAAAAAGAAAAGGCTGATGGCAATGAAGATGAAACCAAGCTACAGGACTCAAAGGGGATTGTACCCGTGGAAGAGAAATTTAGGTCTGAAGGATATAAGAAGGCTGTAAAGACAGTTGCATATCATGAATTTAAGGGTCTGCCGCGGTCGACAATCAATGCAGTATTGGCGGAGCGTAACCATTCTTATACTTTGGCTCGACCCACACTTGTCGATTTATCTTCGAAGTCTTGGCGATTTTCTATATCATCATTCTTCTCTCGTCGAAAACCCCTGACGGCAGTGGAAGCAGGGCACCACCCTCTTGTGGTTTGGCAGTCGTCTGGACAAGGGTCTATAATGCCAACTATCAAGACTACGGGATCACCGGAATTGGACAAAGAATTATTTGATTCTCTCATTGCACCATTACAGGAACGAGCATTATTGGAACGAGAGGAGAAAGATCATGCCCTAGCACTCGAAATAAATAACCACGAAGCGGAAGAGCAGGAAGCTTTGCATGACTGTGAATGTTGTTATACCGCATATGCATTTGAGGAACTCTCTGCTTGTGATATTGGAGGTCATTTTATATGCTTTCAATGTATCAGGCACGCAGGCAACGAAGCCATTTTTGGGCAAGGATGGCAGAGGAACATTGATCTCAATGGTGGAACCTTAAGGTGCCTCGCGGCCATGGCGGGTGAGTGCACAGGATGCATTCCACAGGAGCAGGTGCGACGAGCCTTCCTAGAAGATAAGGGTGAAGAGATTCTACGGAAATTAGACGAACGTCTAATCGAAGACAGTCTTCTGAAAACCGGACTACCACTTATTCGTTGCCCATTTTGCAATTATGCTGAGATTGATGAATTATATCTCCCAGAAGCTCAACAATCGTGGCGCTTGAAACGACTTGGTCCATCTTCTATCTATACTATTTTAATTGTGGTTTTGGGCGTTGGCATGATACCCTTCCTTTTACCTTTTTGCATTCTTTTTTCTTTCCTATTTTTATGTCTCTCCTCGAAACGCACATTTGGCGACTATGCTATCGATCAATTCCAAGAATCTGTTATTCGTTTGCGTAGGAAGCAACATGGTCTTAAATTCGTCTGTCAAAATCAACGATGTGAAAGATCTTCCTGTATTTCATGCTCGAAAGCATGGAACGATATTCATATCTGTCACGAGTCTTCTTTGCTTGCTCTAAGAACGCAAGTCGAACTTGCGATGTCCTTAGCGATCAAGCGAACTTGCCCACGTTGCAATACGTCATTTGTGAAGTCTTCGGGCTGCAACAAATTAACATGTGTTTGCGGTTATCAAATGTGTTATGTTTGTCGCAAGGACATTGGATCTGGGGAGGGATACCGACATTTCTGTGAACACTTTCGACCAAATGGTGGGAGACGTTGTACGGAGTGCTCGAAATGCGACCTATATCGATGTGAGGATGATGAGGTTGTGGTTAAAAAGGCCAAGGAAAAAGCAGAAAGAGAATGGATGGACAAGGAAGGTGGAGGAATAGGTGGTGATGAAAAAGTTCGAAAAGTACTAGAGCAGAAATGGAAAAGAGGGAGAGATGTTACTTGGTGGGAGGGTGAGGGGTGGTGGCAATGGAATTTGCCAAACAGTGAGCAAATACTTGATAGTTTGATTGAAGGTGTTATCGAATGATTACTGGGCACAGGGGGCTATGGTTTTTTGGGAACACGGGTATCAGTGGGTAATTCAATATTGGGATAGGCATAGGAATGGGGGAAATAGGATAAGGATATGTTGAAACGGAGCGAGGGGGAGTTTTGGGGGACTCCGATTAGCGAGTAATATTGATTACTAAGATAATGAGTAGTATAGTACAGAATGAATAAGATCATGATTGAAATTAAGATTGAGTTTAAGAGGGGAATAGAAGTGACAGAAATACCAAAAGCTCTGAAATGTGGTTTGGCTGACTATTTATTGCTTGCTTTGCCTTTGAGCATGTGATATAGAGTTGAATTCCCCATGGGGATACAATCTTGGCGATCTAGCTTTACAAAGGGTACTTTGGGGAGATTTATTCTAGTATCAACAAGACAAGATAACGTCTACTGAAAGAGGTTGAGGTGTATAATTTGAAGTTTTCATTGCCGATATTTAATGAAGCTAGGTAACTCGAATCAACTCATTCCATGCCTTTGCTAGCAAAACACAAATCAGCCTTATTCGAATAAGTCCGTGCATGCAAGGCTAGCCACCAAGACATCATCTCAGCCTTCACCCAAAGAAAGCCCGCACTCACTACAAACATGTCTCAAGTAGAGAAGCCACACCACCACCACAGGAAGGATTCGCACTCCTCACCTCCACTCATCGTGATATTGTCGAAGCAAGCGCCTTCAATACCTACGGCACGCGCTTCGCAACCGGTTCCGCAGACGGCAAAATCAAAGTCTACAATCGCCATCACGACGGTTCGTGGATGCAATGCGATACATGGGGTGCGCATAACGGCGGGGAAGTTCTGCAATTACAATGGATGCCTCCTACTATCCATCCGAATCTCATCGCATCTATTGGTACCGACGGACGGTTTAAGCTGTGGGTTGAAGATCCTACGTTGGCGCCAAATAAGGGACGCAGATTTAACTCCCACAATAATCGGCCCGTGTGGGAAACACGATCGCATACTCGCGCGCCGTTTTTGAGCTTCTCGATTAAACATCATGCGGAGAGTAGGCATACCTATATTGCGCTGGTGGATCGCGATGCGCAATTGATTATCTATGAGAATGAAGAGCCGGAGAATATGACGGCGTGGACGGAACTCGATCGGGTCAATGTGTGTGAGAAGCCTGCGAGAGGAGAGGAGGTTAGTTTCAAGGTGGCTTTTGATCCGAATTTGGAACCCTGTTATAGAGCTATTCGAGAGGGGGTTCCGAGAGATGCGCTGGGATTGGTCGTCGCGAGTATGAATAAAGCGAGTATATGGCGCACGAAGGAAATATCGCATACGGTTAGTCTGGGGAGTGCGAGTACGAAGGAACTTTATTTGGCGGCGGAGTTGAGGGGGCATAGGGGCTTGGTGAGGGATGTGACGTGGGCGGCCGGGAATATTAGGGGGTGGGATGAGGTGGCTACAGCGTGTAAGGATGGGTTGTGAGAGTTTTCCGGGTGGTGGCTGGTAGGGAGGGTGAGGGGTTAGAGGGAAGAAGTAGTGATTCGAGAAGGTACCGGAAAAAACAGTTACGCGAAATCCGGCCCAAATGACAATTGAGAATGGAGCAAAACCCGCTCCTTCCGGGATTGGTGCAGGATTAGCAGGCCAAAGAACGAATCGAAGTAGACAGCAAGAAGCTCAAGGTAGAGATGGAGCGGTAATTCATGCCGTGAAGGAAATTTCTAGGTTGGAAGCAGATCGAGCGCCAGTTTGGAAGGTAGAATTTGATGCAGATGGGCAATTATTGGGGTCTACAGGGGATGATGGCAAACTAATGATGTGGAGGAGAGAACCGACTGGTCTTTGGAGTAGAAGCGCAGAATTGGCGATGAACAGAGCCTGATAATTATCATGATCTCGGTCAAAAGAGAAATTGGTCGAGAAAAAACAAACACTATTCACGTGGAGTATATCAATGGAGTCTGGGGATTATTCAGAAAGATACCGTAGGTTTGGGTTTAGGAGTTAAGGGCGTTTTGATGAGAGGTTTGAGTCTAGGTGTTTATGATAGTGGAGGTATAGAATATATAATAGGATGGCTCTGACATCTTTAAACAATACCAATTTCATGTACATTTCGACTATTTCAACTCACCTCTTATCTAACTCCTTAAATACCTCGCGTAGATCTTTTTACCCATTCTTAATCCGCAGTAAATAAAAGCCGTTGAAGCGGCATGCAAATTGACCCCACTAGCTTCGTCATCTATTCCCCTCAGCCCTGTCCCCCCACAATTTTATGCGATATGAACTCGTGTCTTCTCAGCCTTGCACCAAGGCTCCCCAAATAAAAATAAAAAACCACATCTCCCATCCATCTCTCATCGCATGTCCAATTCCTTTTTTCCCCTTCCATCCACCCCCAAAACCATCTCAATTGAATGCACCCCATCTCCCCCTCCCACCCATCATGAAAAGCACATCTCCCACGCGCACGCGCTCCTCGCTCTCCCTCCCCGAATCCCTCTTCCACCTCTCCCTCACCATCCTCTGTCTCTCCCTCCTCCTCAAAACCCTCTCGCGCGAAAATGGCGAACCCCTCATCGCATCGCTCGCCTTCAGCGGCCTGGCTTTCTCCGCTACCTACAGCATGATTCGTTGGCTGGGCCCAACGTTTATGAAAGCAGGACTCAAGGGAAAAGACATGTCGAAGCGCGATAAGAAGGAGATTCCGGAGACGATGGGCGCGGTCTGCGCGGTGGTTTATTTGTTGATCATTATTGTGTTTATCCCGTTTCCGTTCTATAAGGATATTGTGGCGGCGACGAGTGGTGGTGGGAATCGGGATGTGGTTAGGGAAGGGGGACTGGAGGGGTTCGGGATGGATGTGGAGAATGGGAGGTTCTTGCATAGGTTCCCGCATAGTAAGGTGAGCATTATGAAGTGCATGATGGGAGGAGGTCATTTAATTGGAGAATTGGGATTCTTTGGCTTCTGTTTTGGATTCGATGGGAAAAACAATGGACATATATGTTAACATAAAAATAGCTAGCGTCCTACCTCTCCGCGGTCCTCTCCCTTCAATCCGTCGTTATCATCGGAATCGGCGACGACCTCTTCGATATCCGATGGCGCCACAAATTTTTCATCCCCGCCATTGCCTCCATCCCCATCCTAATCGTCTACTTTGTCGATTTTGGCGTCACCCAAATCGTCATCCCCATCCCCCTACAACCCTATCTCGGCGAGCTCTTCCAACTCGGTCCTCTCTACTACATCTACATGGCTTCCATTGCCATTTTCTGCCCCAACAGCATCAACATTCTCGCTGGCATCAACGGCATCGAAGTTTCCCAATCCCTCATCATCGCCTTCCTCCTCGTCCTAAACGACACCCTGTATCTCCTAACCCCCTACCCCCACCCCGCAACCGACCTCCCACCTCTTCTCCCTCTACATGCTCCTCCCCTTCATCGGCGTCTCCCTCGCCCTGCTCTCCCACAACTGGTACCCCTCTTCCGTCTTCGTCGGCGACACCTACTGCTATTTCGCCGGCATGGTCTTCGCCATCTGCGGCATCCTCGGCCACTTCTCCAAAACCCTATCCTGCCTGCTCATCCCCCAAACCTTCAATTTCCTCTACAGCGTCCCCCAACTCTTCCACCTCATCCCCTGTCCCCGCCACCGTCTCCCCTACTACAACACCAAAACAAATCTCCTCGAACCCTCCATCACCCCATGGCCTAACCCCCCGAAAAAACATCAACACCTCCTCCTCTCTCTCCTGCATAAATTCTACCTCATCCATCTCAAATTCAATAGCGAAGGCGACATCATAGAAAGTAGTAACTTCACACTCTTGAATCTATGGCTTGTATGGTTTGGCCCACGCAGAGAAGATCGATTGGCCATGGAGATCTTGGGAATGCAGATGGTGTGTGGATTGATCGGGTTGTTTGTTCGACATCGCTTGGCGTTGTTAATCTTCAAGAGTGATAATTTGAGTGTGTAGATTTGGGGGAGATGGGTTGCTTTATGGGAAAGGAAGAGAAAGAGTGCAGAAGAGAAAAGGGAAATCGGGTATATATATTGAATCTCAAGATTCGGAGCGTATGTATGTATATATAGATGTACTCATATGGAGATAGATAGACATTTACATTTTTTTTTTACAACATTACAACACAATACCACATACCCGTCCGCATCATCAAATAATACATTCATCATTTCAAAAGCCTCCACCCTCCAAGAAGAAAGATGTTGAAAGTTTTAAAGTTTTTTTTAATTAAAAAAAAATACGAGTGATCTAATCACTTCACTACGTCGAGGTCTGTTTCCTCGCACGATCCGAGCACTACAAAGCTCATCAATGAATATCCATCCATCAATCCCCACCATTTCGAAAACCCATGTCATGCATGTCATCCCATTTCTCCATCTTATCGCAGAGATCCCCTATCATGAATATATCCATTTCAAAAGGATCGTGTCATAGGACCATCTCAAGAACGAGTAGCATCCATACATAACATAGCATTCGTCCCACTCACACCCAACCCTATCCACCCGTCAATCCATCCAAAAGCAAGCCATAAAAAAAAACAAGACAGGAGTGATTGCAACTCGCTTCTCAGAATTCTTTTCCACAAATCCGATCAACCCATCCACACGAAATCATCGTCAATCATCATCAACAAAGAAGCTACTCGTACAACAAAGTTTAGGTATGGTAGGGAAGGTATTTTGTTTTGCCATTGCCTGATGCAAAAAGAAAAAGAGTCCAGTTTTCCGAACGAACAAAAGTAGTGATCAACTGTGATCAAGATGTAGAACAAAAAGAAAGAATTGAATAATCGAAGTAATTAAAACTTCTAAGACTCCACCCCAATGTATTACGCCAGCTACGCCCCTGAACCTTATAATAAGATCATAATCCGGACCCCATTTTGAACCCAAACCAAATGATGCCGTCCGTCCACCGGTCCCAAACTTCCATCAGCTGAAACCTCACGCCGAAGTAAAAGGACAGATGAGGCAATAACACGCCTAAAGCGATATCTAAAACTGTATGTTACAATGCGCCATTCGAGTGTTGAGGGGGCATATTTTTTGGTGATGGTGAAATCTTGAGTGTATCAACAAGACCATGATTGACTTTCTTGTTCCCATCAACTGCTACAGTTTTGCTGTCAAGAAGAGCCCCTATGGAATCAATTTCGTCGATAGCCGAAAGTGTTGACTTGGGAACTGCTGGTGATATTGTAGGACTGCTTCCTACAGAAGCCTTGCGCCCACCTGAACCATTGGCACTCTGGCTCTTCTGTCGAGCGGTATAATCTTTGATTGAAATTTTTTTCCTGGCAGGACTCGGGTTGACAGTATTTGCAGAAGGGTATGATGGGAACTGAGTTGTGCCATACGGCGAGATCGCTGATGAGGGTACCGCGGAAGCCGGTGTGAGTGTGCCTGGAGTTCCGGACAGGTTAGGTGTTGTAAATGTTTGTGTTGGAGACATTCGTACGTGCAGTTCAGGTGATTTGTGTGAATATCCATTGGTGGATTGTCCAGTCCAGGAAGGAGGTTTCATTGTCTGCCCGGTGACGAGTATTGGTCCATCTGTATGATAATCGCCAGAATTGGACGTGAAGTCGGCCGACGGAGTCGATGACGAAATACTAGCATTTCGGACCCTAGTATCGGTGGGCGATTGAGTAATTGATCGATCTTCCTGGATTGGTGAGTCAATATCCATTGCCATTGTAGGCGAAGAGTGATTTTGAAGACCTCCGTTCATCAGTCCTGCAGCAACATTTGTCCGCTGCCGCTCCTCATTCTTAAATAACTCCTGAGCCTTTTCCTGTACTTTGAATTTTTTCATAAGCAAACGCCTCGAAAGTGGCAAGACAGGCCTCTTTGGTATCAACTTTGTTTTCTGCTCGTACCATGCATCTTTGTCCGGGCTTGTTTGTGTTGATGAATCTGCATACACGACATTCGAGGTTATTGAATTCTGGCGTGATCGGAAGCCCTCTGATTCATCTGATCGAGAGCCACTCGAATCATCGCGAGATCGAATGGGTTTCGGAGAGGCTACAACTTTTGAAGATGTCGCGCTGAGGGGTGACCCCGATTGTCGACGCGATGTGCTGGCGTCGACATACTGACGTGATCGGGATCCATTAGATTTTGCGTGAGCCGACTGTGAAACGGCAGTTCGTGATGCGAATGATTTCTGTCGGGGTTTAGAATTTGTCTGTGATGCCGTAGCAGTCACCGGGGAATTCACATTCGAACCATCCGATGGCCTCTTTTTTTTCCGTGGCGGTTCCTGTTCCTGTTCCAGTTGTTTGAATTTTTCTTCCAACAACATCAACTTTCGTTTCTCTCGTTTCGTCTCTGTCAAAACTGCATCGGCTTCAGGGCCATGTATTGGTGTGGGATCACGACTGTGAGGTTTGCTACGCCCGGAGCCAGAAATGGAACGGCTGTCATCGTCGTCGTTTGTCTCTGGCTGGCCTTCGCTAGCAGCTCGACTATTGGTGGCGTGGCCTGTACTTGTGGGAGAGACGTGCTGCTTGGGCTTGCGACCCTTCTTAGATTTCACCCCATTTACACCATTGGATGGCTGTTGGTGCTGACCATGCACTCTGCCGTAGTAATCACGGTGAAATCGTACAAAGGCGCACTCTTTACCGGCATTGCAAGCACAACCTCCGTGATCCGATAACACCAGGTTGATCGAATGCGACACACTTTGGTATTCGGCTTCGGTGATATCAGGTAGCCTATCGTCGTCATCGCCATCAAGATGAAGGGCACGGTCTAGCCTTGACTTGTCAACGAATTTGAAGTCCCAAGGTAATGTAATCTGCTCGTTTGGAGCCAGGGCGCTATCGAGGGTCAAGTAGAAATGATACTCGCTTGTATTGGCAACAATATATGTTTCTAAGTTTGCGTTCGCCCTACAGCTTCGTCGAATGTATCGGCACTGGGATCCTCCCTTTCTTGTATCAATATACAAGGGTAATCCGGGAATGAAAAAGGTAAGAGGGCGTGGATGAGGACACTCTTCCCACCCATTGTCTGGGTTCTTATGATAGTCAGACTGAAACCCGACATGGCCATTCATCTCTCCAATTGGTTTGTTCGCCGGGGTTTTCGTTGTCGTGACGAGAGACTTCCATTGGACATTGGTATTGTTGATGTGAGCGGTCTTGACATCGACGTGCAACTTTGGGAATTGGTGCGGATCAAGTCGCATCTCGGTTTTTTGAACAACATCGTCGAATTTTTTGCCGACATCTTCTTCGAACAGCTTACCCTCTTTGATCCACAAAGCTAATTTGCTCGTGACAGATAGATCGACTAATGTATTTGTATTAATTTCTTGTGATTGAACATCATAAAGCGAGTGGAAAATGACGGAGAGGGAATGAATTTCGAAATTATCTGGCAGATTTCCTGCTGTGTGGTTAGGGCTTGGAGGATGGTTATGATTTCGTTTGGTAGCTTGAGAGCTAACGGAATGATGCGACCGATGACCTTTCGCTCTTTTTTGCGTGTGAGGCACAAGAGAGCCAGCATTCTCGTGGCCCTCTTGGTCATTGAAACCATAATTTTCAGAGGGCTTCACGGTCTTCTTTTTGTGACTTTTTGCTGCCGGCCTTCTATTTTTTTTGTCATTGTTATCATGGGTAGGTTTACTCTGTCGATATTGCGATCTTTCGTTCGCATGTGGACCGAGATCTCGTGGTGAGCAATCAACACAAGAATGGGCGAAGTCTGGCCTCAACACATCTACAGAGCGGTCGTAGTAGCAATCGATATGCTGCCACGTTGAGCAATCTTCGCAATATATCGTGTTTCCATCGTCCTCACAATTGTTGCAGATGCATTTGATGGTGTAATCTTCGTCCGCCAACTCGGTAGCGGGTTGAATATCGTGGGTAAGGGCCTCAACAGAAGTGAGGAAGACAGGCTTAGTCTGGGTCGCATTCTGCGTCGAGATTGATAGGGACCTTTCTGTCATAATCTAGGAGCCTTTGGGTGGCTATTCGAGTGAGAGGATCAAGGTGCGTTCACTGATTCCAAGACCTGAGTCGCATGACGAAGACGACCACGACTCGAAGCAATTAATTATCGCAGAGCGAAAACGACACTCAATTTTGATGATCTCTTTCATCAGCTATTGAATTAAACATGTGAGTCTTCTTGGCTTCCTTCCACGTATGCCAACAATGTAAGAATCGATCAAGAGGAAGTGTGCGTCGAGAGATGGAAGGATAGATCGACGATGGTAGTGCGGTTGGAGAGGATGGTCCGTTAGAAGATGATCTCTGCGAGTCTCGTGTATTGAAATGGATGTGCTGCAATTGAAACCGTGTTCCCAAATGAAAGGGTTTTCAAGTCCAGAGTGGAGGCGATGGGGACGAAGAGACAGGGCCCTCTTCGAAAAGATGATCTCGAAAGGACAAAGACGATTCAACCGAGTTTGCGCTTTGGAATGCTTACGCGTTATTGTACGATAATCGAATGGAGGCAAAGGATGGATAATAGATTTGTTGAGGTATCCTATTTGTAATGACGAGCATACATGAATTCGAGAAGAGTTGTGAAGGTAGAAGGGAGAGTGTGCCTGTATCTGTGGTAGAAAGTGGTAAGTGAGAGGGGAGAATTTGGTTGGGTGAGTGGCCCATTGCGAAGAGCGAACTCAGAAAGTTAGGAAGGAACCAAAAAAGCAGCTA